GGATTTGCACTTATTGCAAGCTTTTATCTCTGAAGCATGTGCAATCAGCTGACTGAATGTGTTGACGAACTCGAGCCAGGCGACTTCCGGGGGTTCTTCTTCGAGGAAAGACCATGTTGTGGCGCTGACTAGCTGGACGAGTCGGTCGTACCTTGTGATGGTTCGCACAGTATCATCGTTATCATTCCGATATTCTGCATAGCAGACGAAGTTGAAACTGATGACTGCGTGATCACTGCGACCCAACGGGCAGTCTAAAACCAACGCATCAATCAAATGCTCCTCGTTGGTAAGCACAAGATCCAGCACAGATGGCCTGTTACCAGTTCTGAACCGAGTGGGCAGTGATGTGGTTGTAAAGAGGAACAGTAGTTACTAGATCTTGTAAATCGGTTTTGAATTGTTCTCCGATCGTGGCAGGGGCTTCTAAACAATGTACGTTGAAATCACGCATGATAAGAATGTGAGTGTACTTTTGTTGTAAACTGCACCTTAAAGCAGCCATTAGGTGGTAGTCGGTTTCGGGTGTTGAGTTAGGGGCGCGGTACACCAAGACAATAAGGCAAGCGTCCCTGCCTTTTAACTGCAACCGGCACCAAAGAGAGTCGGGGAACTGCGAGTCTGAATCCTCCACGGCTTCGCACTGTAAGTCGTTTCGGTAGTACAGGATTACCCCTCCTCTTTTGTGAGCCTGTCGTTCCGGATCACCGACATGCCAGGTAGCGACACTTCAGCGTCCGTCATTCCCGTGTGCAACCATGTCTCGGTGATACCAATGACATCATACGAGCCGGAAGTTTGGCGATCTTTCAGTTCAGCCAGTTTGTTAGAAACGCCCTGAGCATTCGCATACAAGCAGGCCAGTTTCTCGGTCTCTAGGAGCCTGCAGAGAGGTGAAGCTGTCAAGTGTGGGAGAATGCCGACCGATGGGAGGTCGGCAGTTATTCGTTTTTTTGATGGGTCAATGATACCTCGTTTGCAACTTGATTCGGCAAGGTGCGTCCCAGCCTTCGTTTAGACTTACGTCAGAGTCAATTAAAGCAGCAGTCAAGTTACACTTCTGTACATTCGTCAGTATGCTTGCTGCTTCAGTTGCTTTAATAGTTGAGCTGTGCAAAGTGTTTGCGACCTTTAACCGAATTTCGGAAGGAAGATGTTTCCGATTTCTCCGCCATCGATCCAAAACATCCTTTGATTGTTGCTCTGACTGAACCACAAGTTTTAGGATTCTAGGGCCGCATCCTCTGTAATTCGATGAGAGAGGTATCCTGGTGAGCGAAAGTGCCACAACATTATCCAAAGAAAGTGTTTCGCGAATGAACCGCCACTGTTCTAAATTGTGCTTTCCGGTCTCTTGAACATCGTTAGAAGGATGTTCTGACACGCCATGTATGAAGACTGTGTTTAGGTGGTCTTGCTTGCTGTGCCCTTCTTCGGTGTTTCGTTTTGGTTGTCGCGCGCTCCAAGGGATATCAGGATAGATACGTATCACACAGGATTCGTGTTTTAGCACGCTTGCGGAGAGCAAAACGTTTTCTACGTCTGTAGAGGACTCTAGAGTTACTCGATTAAGTCTGGGTTCACCATAGTGTGGCGAGTTCGGATGACGAGTAATTCGTAACAAGTTTATGGGCTTGGCTTTGATACTTATCTGCATACACAATGAGTTCCATTGGTCTTGGTCGTCTGATAACTTATCTCGCAATATGATGGCGGTAGATTCAGGGACATTTGAGCATACAACAGTCCGGGCACTGTTGTTGGATCCCTTTTCAATCGATCTACAAGGTATGGTACTCATTTGTCTTGACTTGTTGACAAGTGATTGTTTATTCTTTTTCTCTCTATTTGCGTTAACGGTGTTTACAATGGAAGAGGACGCAACGGCGGCCTCTCGGTGGACCCTTGCAGCAATCTCTGTATATGTAACCGATGTTCTGGGAGGCTTAGTCTCGACAACAGATATTTGAGCTACAGGTACCAAGGGTTGGTGTTTGGCTGCTTCATCCTTGTTAATACTAGATGCCAGGTCTAGTGGAATTTGCTTAACCAGGCGTTTTGAATGGTGCCTGATTTTCGTTGTTGTGAGTACTGTTTGTTTCACGTAGGTACAGTCTGTTTTCGCCCTGCGTTCTACCAAAGTTGGAGAAGACAACAGAGATGGAGACGTGGCTGATTGCGTTGCAGGGGAAGCGGATTCTTCAGCATTCCGTTGCTTAGCAGCCGTTACGCTTCTGTGGTCCATACTCGCTTCCATTGAAGTAATCTTATTGTTGATCCTCTGCTCTGCTTCTGCGATTAACCGGTCGCATTTCTCAGCCAGGATAAGCAAGCACTTAACGAGGGGGATGGTGGAACATGCAGTACAGAACCAAAATGCATCTTGGGAGCTATTTCGCTCCCGTAACTGTTGTTGGGACACATTTGCACATTTCGTACGGTACCATTCTAAACAGTGCGAACAAGCCAGACCGATTGTTACCACCCGATGACATTATCCTAACCCGCAAATGCCTTTCGATGGGAGTCTCTTCGGTTTCGCCTTTCTGCCATTCAATTTGGTGTCGTTACCTGACCCAGTGGGTTGGTTAGCGTTCTGTACTTTTACAGCTTTGAGAGCGGCGCACATCGATCAGGCGAGCGTGGTGGTTGCAAGGTCAAATGAGCGGTCGGCGTGGTCGCGCGATCCGTGTGATGGGTAATGCAGCCGCATTGGCTGACAAGGTCACAAGGAATGGCGAGTGACTGCAACCTGAACAGAGCGCTGAACACAGATTCTTTCACAGCTGTGTTGAGAAACACTGGATCGGAGTAAGCTTAGGCTTTTCGGCCTGCCTCGAGAATTCTGTAAAGAATGGTGTCACACAGAATGGCAATCGGCTCAATACGATTATTAAACGCTTGCGCTTAATCACAAATGCCAGTGAAAACGCTTAGTGATGGCACAGCTTCTAATCGTAGAAGATATTTCCACGTATGATGGATCACTGTGTAGAGCTGGTAAATCCGGTTCGAATGAGCGTACAGTGACAACGCTGCGAGAAGATGGAGAGAGGATAGAGGGAAATAATCCAAATGAACCAGTAGCACGCATGTCACGCGTGTGTGAGGATGACCTTGAAGCCGAGGAACTTGATGGTTGGTGTAAAAAATGTACACTTGTCTTCACGGATACGAAACCATATGATTGAATGCGTACAAGCACTTCAGCGAGCCGCTCAAATAGTTCTTCCGCCGTCCAACCCATTAAAATGATATCATCCAGGTACGCCGCGGCTCCAGGAACTCCCGCGAGCATAGTATCCATCAGCTGCTGGAAGATGGCTGGTGCTGTTTTCACTCTAGATGGGAGGCGATTGTACTGGTACAAGCTACGATGAGTGTTGATGGTCAGCAATTCTTTTGAGCTTTCATCAACCTCGACCTGGAGGTAGGCATCGGACAAGTCGAGCTTGACGAACCACTTTCCACCATTCAGCTTGGCAAAGATATCCTCTGGTATCGGAAGGAGGTATTGATGGTTGTCCAATGCGGCATTCAGGCCAGTCGAAAATTCGGCGCAGACACGCACTTTACCGTTAGGTTTTCTCATAGCAACAATCGGCGCCGCCTATGAAGAGTAATTCACGGGTGTGATGACATCGGCTCGCTGCTAAAAGTAGCCACAAACGCCACAAAAACGCTGTACAAACTACGCCAGACCTACGTCTATTTGACGTATAGGGGGGGCTCAATGACCTTCGGCTTCTAGAAAACGAAGGTTAAGTGGTAAAATTAGCAGCCTCCCTGCCAAAACTCCGTATGCTGGCGATCACATGAAGGAATGGAAGGTTCCGGAATCTTCGAAATCAATGCACAATCGAAGATAATCGATTAATGGCTAAAATAATGGATTTTCCTTTATGTTTTTACCTTTTCCCGTATGGATGCGGCCAGTGATGAATCCCAAACAGATTTGATACTTATACTTAGGGGAATGCCATCTATGTCCACACAAAAAGGACGCTGCGTAGTCTCTGAGCCGCATCGAAGGGGACAGGAAAGACAACAATGTGGCTTGAATTCAGCTGTCAAACTGGCTTAAAATAAGTGGTAGGATATTTTATGAAAATTTTCTTAGTCAGCTCAGCTGCTCACAAGCTACCTAGCCAAATTCCAATAAGAAAAAGCATCAAAGAACCGTGTCGCCTTAGCAGAGCTTATGAGTAGTATGCAATCCCTAGGTCCCCTGTGGAAGTGGAGACCTCGGGAGGCCAGCTACTGTCTTCTGCAATGGTAGGAATCTGCATGGCAGTGGGGGAGAGGATGTGCTAGATCCCAGTCAGTTTGCAAGTTGTGGCAGTCTGGCTGCTGTCTTCCACAGTTCAGTGGCATAGCTACTGGCTAGTTGGTGTAAGCTGCTAACGGAGGAAATACGCACCACTGACGAGCGAAAGGGTCATCCGGTGCTTTTCCGGACAAGGGTTAGACTAGCTGGCTTGTGAGTATCTAGGATAAATTTCTTTCAAAATGGATGAACGCTAACCGGTTGAATGATCGATCATCGAAGTAAGCCTGCAGCGCTGTCATCATTACATAAATCGACTGAAGTCAACTGCATAGAGAGCACACATTTTCTAAGCAGGAATATATCAGATTTGAATGACGCAGCTATAGCGAAACAGGATACTTGGACTAGATAAATGTTATTGGTTGATGTAGAAGACAGATGGACCCATCAGAATATTTGGCGCAGTAGCTAGTAGGTAACTATCACTACTGTGAAAAACACACCTCTTAGTTCGAAAATAAATTTGCGGACGGTGACAGGAGCTAGGTAGATAATCGGAAAATGTGCAAATCAATGAAATAAAAACACATTACTGCTTCTCCCGGAGGGGCGATAGAATTCGAGCTCCATGAAGTGACAGAACAAAGGGAAGCAATTAATTAATTGTCATTTGATTGGCACAAAGTGATGGTGAAAATTAGCGATAGTGAGAATCGTGGAAATAACCAACCGGCAGCGTTTCCAGAATTCACAGTTAATTTCCACGTTCCATTTGCCATCTCACCCCAGAAGTGTACGGACATAAAAGGCCACACATGAAAGCCGGCCACGTCGATGTCCTTCGGCCGCTTGCTCAGCAATTTGGAGACGGTTCCCGAAGGCGAGGTGAGGCGGATTTCGATCTCACCACGTTGAGCGCTGCTCACCGTGACCTGAGAACAGAACGCATATTATCAGTAGCACATAGGTTTTACTTGAAGTACGGAGGGCGAAAGACATGCAAAGTAGCAGTAGTAGGTATCAAGAAAACTAAACCTCTATATGAAGAACACATTGAAAGCACTCGCAAAAACCTGCACGAACCGCTAACATGCCAATCATCGTGGTGAGACTGAGCTGTGAGAGACGGAGTGCCTCTGGGTGGTTGGATTGATAACATGTCGAAGCCATATCAACTAGAGATGACAATGTTTGGAGGCGAGACGAACACAATCCATACATTCTACACATAACAGAAGAGCGGTTGTGTAGTGATTTGGCATCAGCCTCGAAATCACCACGACCAGGGTTGCAGTCTTCGTCCCTGCGAAATCCCAACCGCTTGCGGTGATGCAACGGCAAGCATATGCTGAAGGCGACGAGGAACGACGTGCAGTGGTTTATGGTCGGTATACAACGTTGTCTTTCTTCCGTTGAAACTCTCCATGGTATAGACTGCCTCAAACAGCTCCTACTCAATTTGCGCATAGCGCTGATCGGTCCCGGTGAGTGCGCGACTGCAGAAATAAAAAGATTTTCCTTTCTGAAATAGAACAGCGCCTATTCCGTCTTGGCTACTGTCATACTGTACCTCCAAAAGCTGCGCTGAATCGCAATACCCGAGTACAGGCGCGTTGCTGAAGAGGAGCTTAATAGTTTCGAATGCAGTATCTTGGTCTTTTCCCTAAATCTATGTTAGTGCCTTGTGAATTGCCTTCCTGATCGGCGTCATGAAATCAGCGAATCGTGGCATAAAACGGCTCAAGTAATTCACTATACTGTTTAAGCGATGGATTCCTTTCACATCACTAGGAGGCGGCATCAATAGAATCGTTTTAATCTTTCTTGGATCGACTCTGACTCTTTTCGTTGTTAGCAAATGCCCATGGAAAATCACCTCGGCTTTCCGAAGTTCAAAATTTTCATGTTTAAGCTTGTTCTTTTGCACACAACCCTGTAAGAAACGGTGGAGATTAGCGTCATGCTCTTCTTCTCGAGCCACAGATCAAAACATCGTCTGCCACGCATGTTACACCATATAAATCGTCTACCATTTGCACCAATCGTTTTTGAAAATTTTCACTCGACACCTTCAAGTCAAACGGTAAACGCAGCCAACGATAACGCCCGAACGGTGTTGCAAAGGTAGTAAGGAAACTTGATTCATCATCTAAAACCACGTGCCAGAATGCCGAAGAGGGGTCTACCTTCGTGAAACACTTAGCTTTGGCCAAACGCGGCAAAATGTCTTCTAGGGTAGGTAGCGCGTAATGCTCTCTATGTAAGGTCATAGTCAACGGTTTTGGGTCAATACACATGCAGTTCGCCCGTCTTCTTAGTAATGATTACGATCTGACTTACCCAGTCGGTTGGCTCGTTGAGTTTGGCAATCACTCTCACTCACTAATTTGCTCAATTCAGCGGAGAACCTGTCACGCAATGCAAATAAAACTTTCCTAGCGGGTAGCACTATCGGTCGAATCGAAGGATCTAAAGAAAAGTGAGCGGTTCCCGCAAAATATCCCGAAACTGGGCTAAACACAGACGGATACTGGTCACTAATATCGGCTTCGCCCTGGCAAACATGCCAAAACGATCATGATTAAAAACGACAAAACCGAGAGACTGGATCAAATCAATGCCGAGAATCAGCGTGAGCTTCTCTTCCACGATCACGCTTCGATTGTAGCTGAGCTCTTCGGATGAAGTCTGAAACCATTCCACATACGCAGGCAATAATCGGATCGAATGCACACTCCGGGACAGTGTTTCCTTGGTAGAATGTTGACAGGAGCATCTGAAGCGCACGGCTTTGCCTTCGATCAAAAGAGTTGCGTAGACACATTTCTGCGGTACCCTCCGAGGCACTTTGCCAATGGAATGTTCTGCATCTGCGGTGGACTTGTCACGAACGACCGCACTCACATTGGTTGATTGACAGCAACGAGTAAAGTGATTCCTTTTTCCACATCTGGCACATTTCCGCTCCCACGCCGGACTCTGGTCTCGGGTGTTCAGATGTCGAGTGGCGCAAAATTTGCAGATCTCCTCTCTCACGTTAGTAGCCTTCGCTGCTTCGCAGAAAGCGGCACACAATTCTACATCTGTTGTGAGCTTCATTCATTAGTATTGATAGATGGTCGAGGACTCAATGTTGCAGATATCAATGCACTGCTGGAGCGATAAGTTGCGTTGTCGCAAAAGTCGATTTGTCGTAGTTTAATCGTTGATTCCTAGAACGATCCGATCGCGTAAAAGACTGTCGGCCAAGCATTTACAGGAATTACAGGACCGGGCCAAAATCTTCAATTCAGAAATGCACGCGTCGATTGATTCGCTTGGGCCTCTGTTGTGCGCAAAGAAAAATGAGCGCTGACAGGTCTCGTTGGTTTTATCCCATAAAAGTTACTGAACTTTTCAATGACCGTCTACAAGTTATTGGGATATTCGCTTTTGTCGTAGTGCAATGTCTCTAGCACACGGCGCGCGTTATCACCGGCTGCGTATCGAAACATGACCAAGCGATACGCCATCGGTTGTTCGTCCAAACGTACTACGATGCAGAAATCCTCCCACTTGCTCTTCAATAGATGCCAATTACTCGCCAAGTTCCGTTTATCCATGTTCAGTGGGGCAGACATCTGAATAAACGCTGATCTAAACAGCATCCGCGCGCCGCCGGTGGGGTTCGTGTTTGTCTTCTCTGACACCATGCTGCAGAACTCAGTCCCTCAGGGACAAGCGTTTATTCGGCAAAGACAGCTCGTAGAAAATTATAACACGTTTAGCAAGCCAAAGCCCTCGATATAAACTGCAGGTTCAAGTCCATAACTAACGACCCTTCTGAGTCGATGAGGTTCCTCGTTTGTCTCAAACAAACGGTGAATCACCCACACGAATATCGACCAATCCGGGTCCAGTAATCGAATCAGGCACGTCCGCCTCCAATTGGCCATCTGGCTCGCTCGGTTGGTTCATTTGCTCACTCTGATCTAATACTACCATCACAGTGCGCATTCCATAGGACCCTGTTGGGTATCGAACTCATGACCGTTAGTGGCTTGCACCACTGGCCAGCAGCTTGTCATTAAACCATGGGGAATGATGTCGGCCGGTGGCCGAGTGATCTGCACTTTTGGTTTGCAACCACAAGGTCACCGGCTCGATCCGCGTGGGGGTGGGCGTCCTCGCGGTGTACTCAGCCCGCGCGCGACTGGTGATGGTCGCGCGGCAGCAAGGCGCCATTACGGCGTACAGCTGACATATTATGGAGAATGATAGCCGACCAGGCCGGATTGAAATTTAACTGCGATATAGTACCTTTTCGTTATATTCCACTTACGTACCACCACCCGTTTCCTTGACACCGAGTTATTCCTATCGTGTTGACGCGACTCATGGCAACAGAGTCTACTACATATGGGTACCTCGAAGCATGCTTCGATGTCTTAGAGTGATGTTTCTTGTACCCAAGCGTGAAAGCGCAATGTCCAGTAGAGTTAGTGTGCGTAGTGGGTGAAATAAATGAACCACATATTGACTTACTTTGGCTTGAACGTGTTCCAAATACACCACACGCTGCGAAGGGTCACCGGCGAGGGCAGCAGCTGAAGCACAACCATCCGTCGTCAGGGCCAACACTTCCTGATCCCTTTGACGAATGGAAACTGGCCCACCTGCTATTGGAGCTTGGGCTTCACAGACGCGCTGAGGAGGTACGTTAGTCCAGTTTAGAGCTAGATCAACCATCGCGCCCGCGTCCATGAGTCCATAACTGGCGAACAGATTAGGTGAGAATATGCAACGAATTCGGCGGAGTAATGATTATTAAAAAACAAATAAAAAATAACACGGCTTACAGAAGGCATGCGTAAGGCGCAGTATGAGTGTGTCAGCAGAAGCTGACAAACGCAGTGTAAATGTCAGAAATGCCTTCATCAGTCTGTGATACTTCTGGCGCTAAAAGGAGATTTCACATTGTCTCACAGGCTGTGTGTACAGGAATGTGGGGAAAAGAGTGAAACTTTGTGATAAAATACATGGCATGCTGGGGCTGAGGACCGCATGTGTTTTCAGATCTTTGATAACGTTTGCTACCGAATCATCGCTTTTGTCGAGTGGAGCAAGCGCATCCACAACGATAGGGTGTGCTGATGAGCGACATACGGTGACGAACAAGAAAAATGGGGAACAGAAACGGAATGATTCGACAAAGAAGAGCCCGCAAGGGCCTAAGTGGTGCAAAATGGAAACGGACGCAGGAAGAGAAATATGAACAAGAGTGTGTAGGGTCAGAGAGCTACCAGCAGACATTACCCCGTGGAGAGAGTAAGGTCTTTCAAAAGACATTTGTTTAAAAAAAATACCGACCTACACTTACCTGAAACATAGTTTACTATCACATGTGAGATGGAGTTGAAACTGGAGGTGCACTTTGCGCACCGTCTGATGGGCTGCGAACACAGCCTTGATATTATTCTCGAAATCGTAAATCGACTAGTATGCAGTTAATTTACTGGATCATACATTGTCCAGGTGAACAATTCACTCACTTCTAAGTGAGACGGTAGCAAATCGGTAGTCTTTTGTCCACACCGTATTCTGAGTAACACGATAAGGTCGAAGCGATAAAATGACATAAAAAATGCACTTGTAAATCAGCACTGCCGGAAGATTTCACGACGAGGTGGACTTTAGGTTTTATAGCCAAATAGAGTAATGACTCTACCAAAGGCAAATGGTCAAGCTGAGACACTAATCATCGACATGGACGTTTGTACAAACAATCAAGATAGCGGCACACAGCAGGCGGATATACCTAAAGAAAATCTGAAATAGGAAGAAAACGAACTCCTTATCCAATCGTGTTCAATGGGGATAGCTGTTCATTGTGAGCTAACCGATTCCAAAAGATGCATAAGACCAGCGTAGGTGACGAGGATTCCAGGTAATAGCATTATCATTGACAAACATGACAAGTAGGACAACGAGTATGGCCTTTGGAAAAGACGGGACCACAGGACGGATGTGTAGGGAATAGGTTATGCCCCGTGAAGGTGGGTAGTACCGCTTTGAGGATAAGCTCAAATCCATATGGATCCCACACCTGCCCACAATAATCAAGAGGACATATCACGCAAAATAGCATGTAGGTCGAAGGAAGTCCGCAAACTAAGTGTGCAATGAGCCAGAAGTAAATGTTTGGAGAATAGGCCTCGGTTGCGGTCAGTGAATGATAAAAAGGACAATAAAGGAGGAGAAGTTGCAATTTCATTGTTCACCGATGAGTAAAAGGATTTCAGATGCAATTTTAACTGGTCTGTCCCCATAGATCACAAGACGACAGTTTCGCCCTATGGGGCTTGTCAGTGGAGCGTAATTTCTCAGTCCCCTGAAGGCAACCCTACTCATTAATAAACAAGACATCCGCCCACAATCTTCAAATGTTATTTCATACATAGCTACCGTGCTGTGGACGTCGTGACCTTTGGAGGCCAAACCGCTGCCCACTGCAATGGGGGCAACTTGCATGGCAGTAGAGAGTAGATTGCGCTATATCCCCAGTAAGCGTGTAAGTTGTGACAGTCTGTCACTGTCTGTTGGCTAGTTGGCGTAGACTGCAAGTAGAAATGGGTTCGGATCAGTGCAGGGGACCGAGGGAATGCGCACCACTGACGAGCCGCGATAGGGAGAGACGGTCTTTGATGCTCTTCCGAATTGGTGGTTAGATGATCGTGAGCTGCCGAAACGAACCAGGCAAAATTTATTTGTTACCAATGAGGTGTAACTGCCGTATCGTGGAATGAATGCATCCACTAATATATCACTTCAAGCTCATTGGTCACTGCACATTGGCAGATCGTGTTGAAGGAAGCATTTACAGATCTAGTCCCAATGCCAATTACGTACGCCACAGCATCTAAAGATTCGAGATAGGCTCTAAGTCCGCTATGTGTAATCGGGACACATCAATAGTGCGAAATGTGAACTCAAGACTAGAAAATTTGTAGGCAGCTGTTTGATTCGATGGGCCGTAAGTGACAGCGATAACCGACATGACTGATTAATATCACAATCAAACACGTCACAGGACAGGGCTGAGTTCCACAGGAACCGACATATTACCAAATGGTTAACTGAATTGTCATGCAGTTAAGTGATGATTTCAGAGAAACAATAGAAGAATTTCAAGAATTCTAAGCTATCGGGTTCCAATATCTGCGAAGTAACCAAGTGCCTTGCGCATCAGAAGACTGCACAATGAGTGATACAAATGGTGAAGCTTAACTGGTCAGGTAACGCTGTCCTATCTCAAAATGCAGCGTGCCAAATGGGAAACAAAAGCACAGAGTCCGAGTGATGAAACTGCACAGAATTTGAAGCAGCTTGGTGAGACGGCAGGACAAGATGGCTTACCCGAAAGCATGCGAAACTCGTCGGCCCACACCGTTAACTCGCCAGTCGGTGGCAAATAATCCGTCCGGTCTGGCAGTGTACACAACCAAATATTGTAAATCTCGCCAAGTGAGACCACTGTTTGCGGACAATGTCAAAGCACAAATACCAGCAGCCAGAGGAGCACTGGCTGATGTGCCCGAATGATTAGTGGTACATGTGTGGTTCAAGTCTGTTGTAATCTGCAAAGCAAAGAGAAGGTGTAGCGAAATGGTGGATTTTCTAATGAGAAATAAAAGTAAAACGTGACGAAATCGAATAGAATGTCAGTCAACTAGGTTGGCATGGCGTAACGCGTCCGGAGTAATAAATCCAGTGGGGTCAGAGCCGCGTGTTCTACAATGAACAGTCGGTTACCGAAGAAATTTTACAAAAGTTTACTCTACCGTGTTATTCAAACCCTAGACAAAACAGTTAGCAGACACGCGTTGTCTGCGCATTCCATGGCACGAATCAGGCTTTCGAATGAATGACGAACACTGAAACACCATTCTATGAACAGAACTGCGCGCGTAAAATGGGTTGCGTTGTGAAACCAAGTTAACAATGCTTCGAGTAGCTGAATATATGGGTACACACAGATAGTGCTGGTAACGAATTTGGAAGCATTTGTAGCCATAGTATAACGTCGCAGGCACGCACGCAAGCAAAAGCAGTCGGAAAACCGAGCAACTGGGGAATAGTGGGTGGGTTTAGAGAAAAATAAACCGATACCCTTGTCAGATAGAAAAAAAGAAAACTGCGAGTGAATCCGATTGCATAATAGGTGGATAAGCGAGGAACAAAATGATGGTTGACAGGAGGTCCCAAGAACTAACTTTACGCTTTAAAACGTGGAGGACAAAGACGGAAATGCGTACACGAGTGATCACAGGTAAGTATTCTAAATAGTGACCAGTAGACTTGATAAGCAACTTTCCAGCATGGCACGAAATCGTGTAAGTATTGAAAAGTGACAAGCGCAATGGAGTATCTCAACTTACCACTGCGCGCTCCCCGTGGCCACCACTGCTGTACGTCACGGCGAGAGTGGAGGAGCACATTTCGGCATACCATGGCACCGATCCGTGTTCGGAAACGGAGCTCACCCCTAAAGTGTATATGCTGTTGGTGTAGCCATCGCAATTACAATTGTCGCCGTTCTTTCCCCCGTTTCCGCTGGCCCAGACAAAGATGGAACCAAGACCACCACGACCCTAAAATGTGAAATATACAGGAACGGGGTTAACTTCGAGCAAAAACATGTTTGAGTATGAGATGGACCAAAACGAAGTACCAGTGATACCGGAGGAAGGTGTAAACCAAAGCGGTTAGCACTCCAAGGTTTTCCATTTTCGTAAGAGAAACAACGGTATTTGCAAGATATGCCAAAGAAGAAGATAGCCTGTTCTTGTAGGAGCAAAATGTGATTCATACTTTTCGCGTTTGCCTTATTTCTTGCGAGATACTTGAAAGCTGTCAGAGTGAGTGGAATGTTGCAGGGTTGTTTCACACAGTTCCATATCGTGAAGAAGCGAAACAGAGTCTAACGCACAAACCGCTACAATAATTGGACAGTCACTGTAGACGATCGCACCCAGTAGTGCTGTCGACAACGGATTATGTTGACTAATTGGAAGGAACTAATACAGAGTTGACAAAGTGGTTATCATTGGAAAACAAGAAAAGCCAAAACGACGCCGAAAAGTACGCAACTATGGTTTAAAAAAATCAAAGGGAGATTTAATGAAAGAGGAACATTTGCAACATAACAGAAAATAGGAAAGGTCGTACAAAAGAAGTAGGTGAATGAAACACTTTGAGCGACAATGTGTGTGTGTGTAAACCTGTCTGACTAAATCTGAATGATGTGCCGGGGGGGGGGGTAACTGAGCACAAACAGAGTGAGACAACTCATTATTGGGTATTGGAGTACCCGCCGTGTGTGGATTGACACACACAATTTGCTTTGAAGCAAACCTGTGCAGTTCGATCACTGCGACCGCATCCGAAGTGGAGAGTTTTAAAGCTCCTTTCTCCCAACACGGCACTCCAGGACCGATCGGTTTCGTCTTGAGTTGGACTCGTCAGGTAGAGACAGCTTGAGCTGAGAGGGAGCGCAACACAGTCATTTGGCCAGAGCTAGACATCAGCGCTCGAGACAACGTTTGGATAGCTTCAAAGGAAGTAGGTTGATGCTCAGCTCTTCCAAGACCCAGCAGGACACAGTTTGCTCAGCCGGTAAACGGCCCTATCTGGTCTATCGGTTCGTCATTATCTCAATGGAGTAAGGTGCGTTGGATTGCGATAATAGGCAAATGTGCTATCAGGTTGCGAACAAAAAGCACTATATCGGTATTTCTAACCAAATGGATAGGGTCTAATAACAGTATTCAACTTTGATTGTCTCAAAGCTGCGATTAGTGGGGTATACACAGAAACAATAAGGAGGCACTTCGATTTCGGACGGTACCCAAAAACACTTAGGGGGACGTGAAGTCGATTCATATGTATGCAGTGAGTAACGGGATCGACTGCCGTAGACTACCCACAGCAAATCAGCCGAAGGGAATACCGACAATGTAAAGGTTAATAACCATCCAGTCGTTATCGCTGGCCATTTTAAATAGATTCTGAGTCATGTGGCTGAACATTTATACGACGCTGCTAGCTTGCAACTGTGAGTTGAAGACACAGCAGATGCACCCGTACCAAGAAGAGGAAGAGTTGATGGTGTCTTCTGAATGAGCTTAGAGTATGTGAGCGAATTGAATGGACAACTGTGAAGTGCAGCCGTTGATCTGCTGCAGTACGTTGATAGTAATGGTAACTAAATCAATGGCAGTCTGTTACTGGCTAAGCTTGGAAGATAAAACTCGAAAAAAGGTGGTAACAAATGGAGATGGTGAGGGATCCTTACGCGCGGATGACACACCGCGACTGCCAATTCCGACAGCGGTCTTGTTCTATGCGCATGATCTCTAATCATTGACTCAACAATCAGACCTGCGTGGAAATGAAGTGAAACGGAATTGCCATGAGTAAACAAGACCGCCTGGACAGTGTTACATACACATGGTAATGTGGAACAGCTCCAGCTCAAGAGTGTGACCAGAGTTATGTGCCATGTTCGTCTAGATTAATGGATGATGTACACTGGAACACAGTGATCGATAGGTATATTATTGTGAGTCTGCATGACGAGCCGCATGATTTGAACTAGGTAGCAGCCAACCGGTAATCAAGAGTTGTACTCCCAGGACGCCAGAAACAACCTGTGGTACTTGTGTTATGCGGTAACTGATCCGAGCCTATAACCCACAAGCTACGTTCTGACGAGACAAGGCCATCGATCTCCGATGAGGAGAATGCCGAATGGTTGACTGAAGTATAATCACCGGCTTGCCTAATACGAGTGTCTCGGAATTACCTGAACAATACCACCAAATAATCCCCGAGACAGGCAACAAATCACAACACATTTGCCCATAAAGCAATTCATTCATCTAAGGCAGTAAATGCAACGTGTAATGCAACTCGTGACAGGCGCAGTTGAAACGATAGAAGCAAATGTATTGTTTTTGATGGAAGTAAGTACCAATTGGATTCCGTTACTGAAAGCCAATTGAGCAAGTCTCCCAGGGCCATCCACAGTCTTCCCGTCGTCTTCAGGCCCCCAGGAAGCTGAGTATACATCGATGTGCTGCATTTGATGACCCAGAGAGCGCGACTCCATTGCATCCGACACCTCCCCGTCCAGCATGCGTACACCGCCAATGCGAGCAAGATAGGCGATACCCAAACCGCATACGTTATTGTTTGCGACAGCCGCCACCTCTCCAGCACATCGAGTCCCATGGCGGCTAAATATAAAAAAAGAACAAAAGCTATGGTAGCTAAGTCTTTGCAATAACAGGAAACAGAAAAAAGAACATGCAAGAGCCATATGCTAACAATCCTGTTGAAAAATGACGTAGGCATACACTTCCCAGATCCCGGTTGAAAGTAGCACTCCGATACCCTCTGGATCCAGGGAAACTAATACACTAAGGACGGCGCCGAAAGTAGTGTACTAATGGATTGGACCAATCGAAATACGCCAGCAACTAAAGCTCTAAGCTGAAGTAAATGGTAAGCAGTGCGGTCGGAACAGACCAGCAACATTTAACCACAGTGAGAGTGTGGTTGAAAACGTATCTGCAATACGCCGGAAACCCATACCGGCACTTCACTGCCACGCACACATTGCTGGCGTCAAGCGGCATGGGACATTGAGAAATCGTTACCAACTACAGTAAGATCGAAACGGCAATGCGTGGATTGCAAACTAGATGCAAGAATCATACCGCCACCGGTATAGCATAGTAACTTGGGGGAAATAGAGTTAATAGAGTAAATTTTAAAGCACCCATGAAATCAGCATCACGTGTTTAAATGGGGATTAAAGTAAGTACAGAAAAGAGGTCTATTGGGGAAAAATACGATTGGTACTGAGCCAAGGATGAAGGTGAGCATTCAAAAAATATCGTGTTACGGTGATTAGAAGCAGCTGAGATAGCAACCGAGGCTAAACCTGAAAAGTCTAGGCGGAGAGAAATGGCAACCATGGTGTTACGGTTTGCATGACATCAAGTTACCTAGATGCGGCTTGTTGCATCGGCAGTGCAACAAACGCTAGGAGATATATGGTCAACAAAAGAGTATGCAATTCCTTCGGATGAAGAATTTGGGTCAGCGTATCTTCCTTCGATGATCGTTATTGAGTACATCTTTAAGGGTATCAAATCACACCGGGAACTGTTAACTGGAGGACCATTCTGTAGTACATGTTGTGTGATTGGATTGCGACGTGCAATCTCAATGTAGACCGGGATTCACACTGAAGTGAACCTTGGTCAATGCGATCACTGGGACCGTAGTCAAAGCAGATGGAAATTGGGTGTTGCCCACCAGGGTGAGTAACACCCAAGTTCCATCTGCTGGAGATGTTTAATTAAAAGGCATTGTGGAAAATTCCAAATGTGGTGGCCACAACCAGTGGAAACATCGAGTCATAAAGTGACTCACGCCGTAGTGTAGAAGCCTCCGTGAGATTACTCCCATTGTTGTTAGTGACCATTTCTAAGGACGCTTGTCAGTGTGTAACGGGGATGAATAGAAATGACAGTAGTCCAGAGCAACGACGAATTTCAATAAACGCAACCGGTGCGCCAGTTCGAGTTAATTTAGTTAGTTAAGTAGAGTCCAAACGTAGAATTCTGTTACCATAATTGGCGTCCGTGGTAGACAAAACGAAACAGTAAAAATAAACAGAAAAACTGGAGAAGGTTACCGTCTGATGACGAGCATGGCAACTAGAATCGAGAGCATATGTGAGAGGAACGCTGACCTCGAGACTGAGTCATGTCAAACCACTGATGGGGCGTATCCCGAGACAATCAACCATGGAGACAACACACATTAGTAGCACAGCTATACCCTACTAAATGCAATGTGACCCTAAAATAAAAGAAAGTGAAGGTGCATCGTCTGTGTGTGCAGAGCCAAAGGAACACTCAGTGAAACGTCCCCATACGAGCTTACAGACTCTAAGAACACGGTATTCATCGTGCGTTTCGGTACTGGCAAAAATCAGAGAGACTGAACAATATGATTCATATGACCAACCAAGTGCCAAGCACAATTATAAGAGTGAACTACGGTTAAGGCATCAGCAGTAGGCAGATACGTCATACCGAAGCGTGTGGACTAAGGAGATTACGAAGTTGCCTACCTGTTCATGTGGTCTGCAAATGTCGATCTGCCGGTTAACTCAAACAACTTATCTATGAGACTGGGTAAGGGTGATGGTGTGCGTACGTACAATCGGACCAGCCAACCGCACATCTCACACCTTCCGTACTTCACGCTGCGATTTCAAGTCGGTGGACAATATGAACAACCTAAAGGAAAAGGGCACTTAAATACAGCTTTTTGTACTTGGTCGAAAGAGATCGATTCTTCGCTTCCATCATAACATCAATGCATAAGTACTAATGTCCCGCCTATTGTCCGATCACTCGTGGCGATGTGAAAGGAGGTTTCAGCACGTGGCTTTCAGGCTCATCTCCAGTCTAAAGGGTATGTTGTATGAAGACCGATGCAGCTGACTAGCACTGTACACCCTGCCGTATCGTCGGTTTAGACTTGACCTCATAACGCAACTGGATCACTTCCCCATGCTGAGGCCACTGTTGCACGTGCGCACACAAAGCAATACTCGCGGCCACCGGTAAAAGCTTGCGGTACCGACCCCGAAGAGGATAGCTCACTATGCTTCGAACGCTGTGATGAAATATTAGAACAATTTGTTCGAGACAATAGTCAAGGTGAAATCGGGGTCAGAAATCAAGAAAATCCTAGATGTCAACTTTGCGGATCACGAATTTCCAGAGCGCATCGCACAGCCGAACTGCATTGACCTGCATGACCATATTATATCGATCGAGTAACACAGACGTACAACTTTTAGCTCACTATCTTCATTATTCAGTATCCAATACATTTTTTCAAATATGGTGAAAAACACAAAGCACAAAACAACTAAAAGCCTAAGCCGTACAACAGCAACTATCAAGGTGTACCCGATGAGTAAAACAGGCTAACAAAGTTATCGTGTGTGTATATTCCTGTTCCATAGACAGTTTACAGTCAAACAAGTAACCAGCTAAGACAGGCTGTGGCCACCTAGACTATCGGGTATACAGCCATTATCGAAGAACCAAAAATTGACAGGGATGAAATCAGACGAAGCGATTCGGTTTTCGTGTCGGATCTCTTCATTTTAGTAGTAGCATCCAAGTCAGAAACCGTTTCAATTGGAGACAATGGGAGTGGCGATAACATCAACAATCTCCTGTGAAGTTGCGGAAATATGTTCAACGCTAGAATTCGGTAAAAGAAAAACCATCGAAATCGGATAAGATTCCAAGAGAACTCAGGATAAAACCAACTGAGTGAGTAGATCGCGAGGAACAGCCGGATAATAGAACCTTGCTGAACCACCACTTACACTTAGGTCCCAATGGAGATACAACTTTCGGAAGTCTTAAAGAAACATATCTAACACAGCGGATAATTTGCCGTCGAAAGAAATGTTTTAAGAAAGAATATGTTGTGTAGGATACACGAAGGCCACAATTACAGATCCGTTCGGTGTTTGTTTTTCCTGTGCAAGCAAGTCCATACTGTCCTGTGTTTATAATCATCTAACCCAATCTCCAAACTGTCAAAATGCTATTTGCCCGCTCTCTTTTGATCAGTATGCACACCTCGCTTCGCTTTCTCCATGATCCCCCACTGTCGGCCGGTGGCCGAGTGGTCTGCGCACCTGGTTTGTAACCATAAGGCCCCCGGTTCGAATCCGCATAGGAGTGGGCGTCCCCGCGGCATACTCAGCCCACGTGCGACTGGTGGTCGTCGCGCCGCAGCGAAGCGCCGTTATGGTGTATAGCTGACGACTATGATCTCCCACTTGCGCCTATACTTGTTCCGCAGCGATAAGAACAATGATAATACGTAGATTACTCGATTGTGCGAAGCTGTCCCTGAATTGGCGACAGACCATGAGTACGATAGTGATTATGCTTGCGCATGAGTTAGATTTGTATTTTGAGGCATGTCATCAAAACACTTTGAAACGCATAGCTTGTTGTTGCTGAGTTTTGTGTAACATACCTTCTCACTGGTTACATACTCCTTGATCCATCCTGGAAGAACTGATTCAGGGACTTACTCGATGGAAACATGGTGATTAGCAAATTCTGGTCCAGGAAATTTCCAGCTTTAATCCGGAAAGTTCTTCTGGTAGCCTATACCACAATACAGCGTATCTGACAAAGAAATTGGATCGAATAGCTGTTCTGGTTCCTGGCACAGTTAGTGTACAAATCTTGTTGCGTAGACTCCGTGTGAAATTACGTTGCAATTTTAATGTGAATAGGTTAGAGTATGTCTTGTGGTTTATGAGATCTTGCAACAGCGTCAGGTCCTTTCAGTCGTCGCAACCAGAGGTTCGAGCTTAAGCCGCTGAAAACGTTCCTGACAGCCCAAGTTGAAGGATTTACTGAAGAAGCGTTTAGTGAATGATCTTAGCAGGTTTTCCGGAGTTTTCTGTCACCCATACGCAGGTTACCATAAATGATGCTGCAGTATTCGAGGATAGAAAAAGTGAGTATTTCGAAAAGCTCGATTCTGGCAGGGATTGTATGGATTCTATGGCATACGTCAGTCATCGATCGTTTGGCGCGTGCTATTTGGTACTCAGTTCGATTTGCGTAATTGAAGTTTGATTAGTATAGTGTGCCTAGATCAGAGTAACTTTCACACAGATGCGTGCATTATTCAGCTTAACTGACGCTTCAGGAATCAAACATCCGTGTGACATGATGCAGGAGTTAGTAGCTGAGAACTTTATCATCCACACGTCGTACCATTCCTCAAGTGAATCGATGCCCTCTTGAGTGAGCAACATTGCGCTTTGGGGTTCGTCTTGCCGAAAGTTATAAATGACCATAATGGTCATCCCATCATCAGGACCAGTGCATATGTGATACCATTGTTGAAAGTTTCAAATAGATTGATCCCATTCCACTACAGCGTTCCAAATCATCCGTTCCATTCGTGTAATTAATCAATCTAGTCATATCAGCGTCCTTCGGGTTCCTCAGATAATAACACTTCTCAGTGTTACTTTAAAACTAGGCCAACTGGGAACATTTTACGGTATAAGATAAAAGCTCCCCAGCATCCACGTGTTTTTTGGAAAAGCAATCTAGGCTCCTGATGAAATCCGAGCATGTTCAGAGAAGTAGTGTAAGTATGA